AAATAATTTCTCCCATTCTGTTGGTTGCCTCTTCACTTTCCTGAGTTTTTCTTTCGCAGTGAGAAACTTCTCAATTTGATGTAATCCCATTTGTTAATTTTGGCTTTGACTGCCTGTGCCTCTGGGGTGTTTTCCAAGAACTCTTTGCCTAGGCCAATGTCTTGCAGAGTTTCCCCAATGTTCTCTAACAGTTTGAAGGTGTTGGGTTATAGATTTATATCTTTAATCCATTTTGCATGGATTTTTGTGTCAGGTGTAAGTTAGGGGTCTTGCTTCATACTTTTGCCTTTAAAAATCTAGTTTTCCCAGCATCATTTGTTGAATATACTGTCCTTGCTCCAGGGATTGGTTTTGGCTTCTTGGTCAAATATAAGTTGGTTGTAGATGCTTGGATTAATTTCTGGTGATTCAAATTCAATTCCATTGACCTATCCATATATTTTTGTACCAGTACTAGGCTGTTTTGGTTATAACTGCCTTGTAGAATGTCTTAAAAATCTGGTATTGTGATGCCTCCGGCTTTGTTTTTGTTGTGCAAGATTGCTTTAGCTATCCTAGGTCACCTATGTTTCCATATGAATTCCAGCATCATTTTTTCTATATCTGAGAAGAATGTCCTTGGTATTTTGATTGGTTTCACGTTGAATCTGTAAATTTCTTTTGGTACTGTGGACATTTTGATGATATTGCTTCTTCCAGTCCATGAACATGGAAGATTTTTCCATTTCTTTGTATCTTCTGCTATTTCTTCCTTTAATGTTTTGTAATTCTCACAATAGAGACCTTTGACATCCTTGGTTAAATTTATCCAAGGTATTTGATTTTTTGGTGGCTATTGTGAATTGGATTGATCTTAGAAGTTCAGTCTCAGCCTTGACATTGTCCATGTATACAAAGGCTATAAAATTTTGTGTACTGATTTTATATCCTGTTACTTTACCAAACTCTTCTATGAGTTCCAATAGTCTCTTGGTGGAGTCTTTTGGATCCCCTATATGTAGAATCATGTCATCTGCAAATAGGGATAATTTGACTTCCTGCTTCTCAATTTGTAACACTTTGATTTTTTTCTTTCCTAACAGCTATAGCTAATACTTCCAGGACTATATTGAATAGCAATGGTGAGAATGGGCATACTTGTCCGGTACTGGATCTCAGTGGGAATGCTTCCAAGTTTTCCCCATTCAGTAGGATGCTGGCCATGGGTTTGTCATAAATTGCTTTGATTTTGAGGAATATTCCTTCTAGAACCAGTTTGCTTAGAGTTTTCATCAAGAAAGAGTGTTGTATTTTATCAAATGCTTTCTCTACATCTATTGAGATAATCATATGGTTTTTGTTCTGCAGTTTGTTAATGTTATGTTTCACACTGATTGATTTGCAAATGTTGAACCATCCCTGCATACCAGGGATAAATCCCACCTGTTCTGGGTGGATGATCTTTCTGATGTGTTGTTGGATTCGATTGGCTAGAATTTTGTTGAGGATTTTTGTGTCTATGTTCATCATGGAACTTGGTCTGTAATTGTCTCTCTCTGTTGCATCTTTTTCAGGTTTAGGAATTAAGGTGATGCTGGCTTCATAGAAATAATTTGGGAGAATTATCTTTCTTTCAATTGTTTTGAATAACTGAGGAGAATTGAGTTAGTTCTTTATTTGTCTGATAGAATTCAGCAGTAAATCCATCTAGTCAGCTTTCTTTGTTGTAGGGTTTTGTTACTGATTCAATTTCTGTCTTAGTTATGGGTTTGTTAGGTTTTCTATGTCTTCATGGCTCAATTTAGGTAGGTTGCATGTGTCCCAGAATCTGTACATTTCTAGGTTTCCCAGTTTGTTGGCATAAAGCTCTTTGTAGTAATTTCTGATGATTCATTTTAGTTTCTGTGGTGTCTATAGTTAATTTCCCTTTCATCTCTAATTTTATTGATTTGAATCTTTTCTCTCCTTTTTTTGGTTAGTTGGGCCACTGGTGTGTCAATTTTGTTTATTTTTCAATAAACCAGCCCTTTGTTTTGCTAATCTTTTGTATTTTTTTGGACTCAATTTTGTTGATTTCTTTTCTAATTTTAATTATTTCTTCTACTAGTTTTGGGTTTGGTTTGTTGTTGTTTTTCTAGATCCTTGAGATACATTAATATTCATTTGTTTGGTGACTTTTCAATTTCTTGATGTAGGCACCAATTGCTATAAACTTGCCTCTTAACACTGCTTTTCCTGTAATCCTAGGTTTTCATATGTTGTATTGTCATCTTCATTTGTTTCCCAAAAGTTTTTTATTTCTTTTTTGATTTATTCAATGACCCACAGTTTATTCAGGAGCATGTTGTTAGTCTCCATGTATTTTCATATGTTCTAGAGATTCCTGAGTTGTTTATTTACAGCTTCATTGCATTGTGGTACAAGAAGATGCATGGTATGATTTTAATTTTTTTTTTAATTTGCTGAGAGTTGCTTTATGGCCTAGCATGTGGTCAATCATAGAGAAAAATCCATGCACTACTGAGAAGATGTGTATTCTGCAACTGTAGGATGAAAAGTTCTGTAGATATGTTAGGTCCATTTGGTCAATAATGTCAATTAACTCTGCTGTTTACTTGTCGATTTTCTTTCTGGTTGATGTGTCCATTGCTGAAATTGGGGTATGAAGTCCCCCATTACTATTGTATTTGAATCTATGTCTCCCTTTAGATTCATTAGCATTTCTTTTAAATAGCTAGGTACCCTGTAATTAGGTGCGTTTATGTTTATGATAGTTATATCTTCCTGTTGAATTGGCCCCTTAATCATACATAGTGCCTTTCTTTGTTTCATTTAACAGTTTTTATTTTAAAGTCCATTTTATCTGATATTAGGATGGCTTCACAGCTCATTTTGTTTTCTGTTGGCATGGACTACCTTTTTCCATCCTTTGACTTTTAGTCTGTGTGCTAAATCTTTGTTGTTGAGTTATGTTTCTTGCAGGCAGCAAATAGATGGGTTTTGTTTTTTAATCCATTCAGCCAGTCTGTGTCTTTTAACTGGAGAGCTGAAGCTATTTATAATCAAGGTGACTATTGATAAGTAACAGCTTTGCCCTGCCATTTTTCCAAATATATCTGAGGTGACACACTAGGTTTGGCATGGTAAATCTCCTCTTTTTTTCTAATCAGAAGGGAGATTTATTCTGCTCAGCTGAGCTCCTCTCCTCAAAGGTGACCAGGGCCTGAGTGCTAGCTCCAGTGGGTGTAACATTCATTCACTCTGTCCAAAGGACCACAAAAAGGATCTGTTCCGTCTTCAGTGTAAGCTCAAGCTCCTCAGCAATGCCCCTTACCAAGTAACCAGGAAGCCCTGAGTGTGTGGAGTCCCCCTCGGTGACTTCCCAAAGTCCCAGCCACACTGTTAGTCTTTCCACCCAGCCTCAGTTTTTTTCTTTTTTTATAGTTCTGGCACACAAGCCTCCCACAGTCATGAGCACTCAGCCCCTGTTAGCTCTCCCTACCAGAGTCAGGAGTTTCCACTCGGCTGAATGCTGGACATGGACACAAGCTGGCACAGCTGTTATGTATGTCCAAAATGGCGCCCACTCTACAGCTTGTTACAGGTCACCACTGTAAGGTGACTGAGAAGTGAGAAATGTGTCTCTCCTTTTTTTCCCTCTAGTTGGTTAGGTACACTATCCCCCTCGGGGCTCTAGGCTGGATTCCCTCTAGGATCTTCCTGCAGCTCTATTGCCAGTGGCTTGGGCTGCTGCAGCCTGGTCTCATCTCACTCTCCCATGCTGATATGGAAGCTCTCGGCTGCTGGAGTCTTGAGCCTGGGCAACTACGCCCTCCATGTAGGTCCACTGTGTCCCTCTAATTTGCATAGAATTTTCTCTGCTGTTTTCTCCCTAAATCTTCCCTGACACTGCACTCTTTCCACTTTTTTTAAGCTATCCTCTCCTAGACCAGAGCAGTAAGCTTCCTCCCTGCTCCACCATCTTGGAACCTTAAATACCTTTGGTGCATTGCTTTATAATTGTTTGTCATTGTTTATTTAAGGTAATAGAAACAAAGCCAATGAATAAAACAAGTTATTCTCTCAAATCTGAATTTGTGTTCCTGGGGCTTTCTACCTACAGACAAGTTCAGCATTTCCTTCTGGCCTTCTCTACGTTGTTTTATATAATAATTGTCCTTGGGAACCTGCTTATTGTCTTTCAGTGATATTTAATGCTCATTTACACCCCCCAATGTACTTCCTTTTGGGAAATCTTTCATTCATTAATTTCTGCCTTTCTACCTTGCAGTTCCTAAAATGATTTCTGACCTTTAGTTTGCCAGGTTTGTGTCAGCCAGATATTTGCCCTTCATGTCCCAGGTGGATCTGAGATGGTGCTGCTCATAGCCACGGCCTTAGACAGATATGTGGCCATATGTAAGCCCCTCCATTGTGAACCCACGGATGTGCAATTTGCTTCTGTCTGGTGCCTGGGTTATTGGTCTCAATTCACTCAGTGGCCCAGTTAGCTTTTGTTGTTCATTCGTCATTTCGTAGTCCTAATGAGACAGTTTTTACTGTGATTTTCCCTGGTTTACCAAGCTTGCCTATACAGACCCAGACAGAATGGAGTTAATGGTTACTGCAAACAGTGGGTTCATTTCCATGGGCATCTTCTTCTTACTGGTTATCTTTTATGTCTTCATCCTGTCTACTGTGTGGGAACATTCTTCATGTGGTTTGTCCAAGGCCCTCTCAGCTCTTTCAGCTCACATCACTGTAGTGGAGTTGTTCTTTGGACCATTCATTTTTATTTATAGTGGCTATTTCCCACAGTTCCAGTGGATAATTTTCTTGCCATATTGGACTTTATGATTACACCCATCCTGTATCCTGCCATTTATACCTTGAGGAACAAAGACATGAAGATGGCAATGAGGAGACTGGGTAGACAAGTCCTGAGTTTGAGGAACATCTCCTAAATAGCTTAAAAGAGCAAAGTTTTTTGTTGTGTTCTTTAGACTCTTCAAATGCTGAAATCATACAAAAATATGGGTATTACCTGAAATATACTCAAAGTGTTTAATGTATATACCATCATATTGGGTCAAAAAATGTAATCTCTTGCAAATACAGGGGTGGGGAGCAGACAATATGGATAGTTTTATTCCAATTCTATACTAATTTATTTTATTACATATTTAATTTCTCATTGTGGACAATTTTTATGTACCTTGAGACTTGCAAATAGAGAAAGCAAATATTTTTGTGAGGCCTATATTTTAGTAAATCATAGGCAACCTTGAAAAGTTTATAAAACACAATTATAATACTATAGTCCTAGAACAACTAATAGATGTTCCAACATTTATTTATGGACTGGATGACTTTCTCATAAATATATTAGCTTTCATAACATTTATTCCTTTGAAATAAAATAGCCACACAGTACATGTAGAATACTTTTTATGCTTATTAATCTTTTTTTAAAATGGTTTTGGTTCATTCTTTATAAATGATAGTCTGTTCTTAATTTAAATATTTATTTAAACATCTGTAATATATAAAATAGATGATTACTTATGAGTTTACATTGAATTATCACATTAACTCTATTTAAAAAGTTATTTTACTATTTATTTTTAGTCCTAAAAATTTTTCACAGAAAGGTAATGAGAAAAGGTAAATTACAGCTTTGGTAGTATGGCTTCAGATATAAGATCATCGAGATTTCAATTAATTCAATTAGAGGTAATATATTCAGCTTTTGAAGGACTTTGAAATATGAACATATTACTTCCCTTCACATTAAATGCATAATATGAATAATTTAACTTATATATTGTCTGACAATCAAACAGTATGAAGAGGAGAAAAGTTTAAAGCTGGAGGAAGAAGGAACAGTGTTGGAGAAATTAGGTAAACAAAAAATCAGTAAAGAAATGAAACAAAAGGAAAGGACAATTAGAGTGTTTCAAAAACAGCTAAAAGATATGAAGTTGAGGAAATAAAATTCTCTCTAGATTGCGATTATGATTATTATTCAGCTTTATTCTGCATAAGATGGGGAATGCTTAATGATTGAATTTGTGGTTATCTCTCCAGAGAAGTTAGTCAGAATGTTAACCAAATGAAAAACTAATTCATCCATTTGTAAAGATAAAGAAAGGAATGTTCAATCCACTGGCTTATTATTAAAAATTAGAGAAGACCTTTTTGACATGATGTGATTAAAGAAACGCTTAGCCTACAGAAAATATCAAAATATGATTGCAGATGTTTTTAAAGTAGCAGAACCAATATTAATAGGTACCACTAATATGTTATTTTTTTTTTCACAGGCAGAGTGGACAGTGAGAGAGAGAGAGACAGAGAGAAAGGTCTTCCTTTGCTGTTGGTTTACCCTCCAATGGCCGCCGTGGCCAGCGCGCTGCGACCGTCACAACGCGCTGATCTGAAGCCAGGAGCCAGGTGCTTCTCTGGGACTAGAACTGGGGGTGCCGGTACTGCATGCGGATGACTAGACTAGTGAGCTGCAGCTCCGGCAGCTATGTTATTATGCACTACTATGTTATTAATTTCAAATCATCTTTGAGCATAACCAAGTTTTTAATGATAGAGATTGGTAAAGCTTTCCAGACAGAAATCATTTTGCATTTAATGATCAGTAAACTGGTGGAACTGAACAGAATCGACGGAGACCTTTCATCTGGAGATACCCGATTTCCATTTGTGAATACGGGAGTACTCCCCAGTGCAGAGTACACAAGTCAGTGTGGTTAATTTAGAAGGTTATAGTGAACATTTTGATAATGTGAGAACCTGAACTACGCATTGAAATTAATATACTAACACCACAGTCTCTTCACTGCATTTTTAATCTCCTTGTTTCTTAGAGTGTAAATGGCTGGATTTAGGAGAGGTGTTATAACTGCATAGAGTACAGCAAGGAACTTGTCCACCCAGGTGATGTTCACGGGCCACAGATAGATGAAGATACAGGGTCCAAAGAACAATACCACCACCGTAATGTGGGCAGTGCAGGTGGAGAGAGCTTTGGATGCCCCATCCTTAGATTGAAGTTTGACAGTAAAAAGAATATGAGAGTAAGAGATCAGTAACAGAATGAAGCAGATGGTTGCCAATACCCCACTGTTGGCATTTATCAATATTTCTAGAATATAGGTGTCCATGCAGGCTAGCTTGATCACCAGTGGGATATCACAGAAAAAGCTATCTAATTCTCTTGGTCCACAGAAGGGAAGCTTGAGAATAATAAGTAGTTGGCTTATTGAATGAACAAAGCCAATAACCCATGATGTAATTACTAACCCAATGCACATATGTCTGCTCATGATGCTGGAGTAATGCAGAGGCTTACAGATGGCCACATAGCGATCATACGCCATTGACACAAGCAGTACCATCTCACCCCCTCCAAAGAAGTGTCCAAAAAAAAGCTGACACATGCAGTCTCCAAAGGAGATTGTCTTGTTTTCCTTGAGAAAGTCTGTGATCATTTTAGGAGTGGTGACTGAGGAAAAGCAGAAGTCGAAGAAGGAGAGATTGGCCAACAAAAAGTACATTGGAGAATGGAGATGAAGGTCAATGGTGACTATGATCATAATGGAGATATTTCCTAAAATGGTGGTCAAATAAAGTGTAGAAAATATCACAAGGAGGAAGGCCTGGAGCTCCCATGATTCACAAAGCCCAAGAATAATGAATTCTGACACCACAGACTGGTTTGTTTCTTCCATTTGTTTCGGTTCTAAATTCACCTGAAGCAAAACACAAGTCAGTAGATTTTCTAAACAAACAAACAGTACAAAAATTAACAGGATTTCTTAAACATTATTAATGAAAGAGAATACCAGTATAATCATGATCCAAACAAAGTTTAGACTTCTCTTGTAAAGTTTAACATTCACACATTCTATGGCCCAGAAATTGCACTCTCACTTATATCCCAAGATAAATTCATATATATATGCATATGAATATACATACATACACAGATAGGGAAAAATTTATAATAATTTTCATTAACAAAATCCTATAATAATTTGTTTTTGTTCTAAAACAAAAGAATTACACCCACATAAAATGATAGAGATGATACAGAATTGCCTTAGTAAAGTGTAATAATGAAAGAAAAATGTTCATATGGTTCATTTTTGTCAGGTGTAAAGTAATAGAAGAATTACTTTGCGAAAACTTGTATAGGTGATGGAGTGCAAAGAGAAGATGAACAATATCAATAACCTCAAGTAAAGGGAGGACTGCAGTAGGCCTGAGGATGAGCACATAAGCATATGAGCACCCTCTAAGTTGTTTAGCTTTGTATTTGTATGGCATCAACATATTTTCATAGATATAATCTTACTACAGAATAATACAAGAACAAACAAAATAGACCTGAAAAAATGATGAAATCAGACTACAAATCAAGAGTTATGGTCAATTCAATACCGTGGACCTGAGATAAAAGACCATTTTGCTTAAAAGATACCTTTTGGGGCTGGCACTATGGCACAGCGGGTTAATGCCCTGGCATGAAGCGCTGGCATCCCATATAGGCACCAGTTCAAGACCCAGCTGCTCCACTTCCGATCCAGCTCTCTGCTATTTTCGGGAAAGCAGTAAAAGATGGCCTAAGTCCTTGGGTCCCTGCACCTGCATGGGAGACCCAGAAGAAGCTCCTGGCTCCTGGCTTCGGATTGGTACAGCTCCAGCCGTTGTGGCCAACTGGGAAGCGAACCATTGAATGGAAGACCTCTCGCTCTCCCTCTCTCTTTCTCTCTCTGCCTCTCCTCTCTCTGTAACTCTGACTTTCAAATAAATGAATAAGTAAATGTTTAAAAAATAAAATAAAAAAGGGACATTTTTAGAGGACTATATGGTATAAAAACAGTTCCAATATTTAAATTAAAGATGTTAGGTGTGGGCATTTGGCACAGTGGTTACACACTGCATGGGATGCATACATCCCATAGTGGAGTGACTGGGTGTGAATCCCGGCTCTGATTCTGATTCTAGCTTCCTGCTAATGTACATCTTGGAGGCAGCAGATGATTGCTCAGATAGTAGGGTTCCTGCCACCCACATGAGAGACCTAGATTGTATTCTTGATTCCTGGCTTTGGCCTGGTCCAGCTCTCTGTTTCAGGTATTTAGGGAGTGAGGCAGCAGATGGGAAATCTGTCTGTTTTTGTCTTTAAAATGAATAAAAATGAATTTTAACAATATTAGAATATATTTAGCACATTATTGAAGGTCAATAATTATTTCATTAATGAATTTACATATATAGTAAAAAATTAAGTAGGAGTATTAACACAAGTTTTAAAAGAAATGACATAGTAAACTAATTATAGTAAGAGGAACCAGTTAAAAAGAAGGTGACTGGGGCTGGCACTGTGGCGTACTATGTTAAGCCTCTACATTTTTTGAGTCCTAGCTGCTCTACTTTTGATCCAGCTCGTTGCTAATGCTCCTGGGAAAGCAGCGGAAGATGGCCCAGGTCCTTGGGCCTCTGCACCCACATGGGAGACCTGAAAGAAGCTCCTGGCTCCTGCCTTATCCTGGCCCAGCCCTGGCTGTTGGCCATTTGGGAAGTGAACCAGTAGATGGAAGGCTTTTCTCTGTCCCTCTCTCTGCCTGTAACTCTACCTCTCAATTAAATAAATAAAATCTTTAAAAACAAATTAAAAAAACCAAGATGAATTCTGAGAAAATATCTAGAAATCTCTGCATGTATTAAAATGAACTAAAGTCTGTGACAGAAATTGAGAAGATGGACTGAGCATCAAGTTACTTGGGAAAAAGATTTTAATGTTAGGAATGAGAAGCCCATTGCTACCGCTGACTCTTGAAACACATTTGCAGGATTCTAATCACAAATTTACTCAAATTAGGTTCCGGAATGAATGCTTGTTTAGAAAAGAACTAAAATTGTTTGAGAATGAATGTGATTTCTACAAATCGTGAAAAAATAATAAATACTTTTGAGAATACCTGTGCTATGAAAAGATAATTGACATAAGAATAAACAAATGACCAAATAAGTGTATGAAACATACTCTATGTATCTATAGTAATTCTTACTATTGTCTTTGACAGTAAGTGCTCGAAGTTTTCTCCTTAAATTGTTTGGGCTGACACTGACATGTAAAGTTGAAATATCATTGATGTTCAAGTACAACAGTGTGTTCAGATACCAAATTAGAAAGTATTATATGTAGCAGGGGACTTTATTCTTGTCAAATAAATAAGAGTTCAGATGAAAACCTGATAGACTCTAGATGCTGTAAATTATGCCAAAATAATAAAATCTTATCCCTGATCTGGTGCTGAGCGCAGCAGGTGGAGCCACCGTCTGCAGTGCTGGCATCCCATATGGGTGCTAGTTAGAGACCCAGCTGCTCCACTTCCGATCCAGCTCTCAGCTATGGCCTGGGGAAGCAGTAGAGGATGGTCCAAGTCCTCGGGCCCCTGCACCCACGTGGGAGACCTGGAGGAAGCTCCCGGCTCCTGGCTTCAGGTCAGCTAAGCTTCAGCCATTGTGGCCAATTGGGGTGTGAACCAGCAGATGGAAGACTTTTTTCTCTCTCTGACTCTCTCTCTCTGTAACTCTACCTCTCAAATAAATTAGTTAATTAAAAAAATTATTCCTGCCTTCTCACCTTATTACTTTGTTTAAAGTTGCATTATTTCAGTTCAATTACAGCAGAGAAATTTTACTACAAAATAATTCATATTGAGAGCAATATAAATAATATAGTTACAATTAATTTTAGGCATATCTTATGTAGGCATGATAAATATTCAGACTCCAAGAGTATATATGAAATCAGATAACTTAAAGCTTCATTCATGAGCATAAGGATACACTCCAAATCACTCCTCATATTATTAACTTTGTGGTTTGTAGTTTCTTGGTTTTTAATCCACTTTCAATTCAACAACTATATTTTGGACCTGTGATTCTAACTCAGCACTGTGCTATTCTCTATAGGGTAATAGAAGTGAAATACAGGATTTTATATGTTAATAAGTTTAAATAATTTTAAATTAAAAAAATCATTGGAAATTACAAAAATAAAAAAGCAACACTCACCAAAGAGAGTAACAATTTGGGAAAGGAATGAGACATAGAGACCAGTCTCATGTTTCATTTGTGAGCTGCTGACTTCAAGATCAGTTGAAAACCAAGTCTCTGCGTTTGGTCTCTCTGGATATCTCCCATGTAGTAGGAACTTTCGCTTACACTGTGTAATTTAGTCTTCATAATAACTTCATGAAGTGGTCTCATTGTGAGGTGGCCTCTCAGGGTAACCCGTTAGGAGTCTCGGAGCTGAGAAGTAGCATGACTAAGACTGGGCTAGATCCCAGCACTCTCTCTTCCTGTCCTTCTATCAGCCTGCATCTCCTGAAATTCAGTTCCAAGAGCATAATTCCATTTCCATGGTAACCATGGATTTTTAAAGCTTTGGGGAGTTTTTGCCCCTTATGTTTTATTTGGTTTCTTGCTGCTCTTAATGATAATCAAATTTCTCCTATTCAGAAATTTCTGTCCATTACAGTCACATATCAGTGCCTAAAACAGTCCCTTTACGCGGGAACACCAGATTCTGGATTTGTGAGAACAATTCTTCCTCAGCTGAGTCATCTAGGAAGCTGCAAACCAAAAAGAAAACATTGCCTTAGACTTTACAAAGTCCAGAGCCTCATGATATAGCTGAGGGACAATTTTTTTTTTATATTTATGGAAGCTACACAGCACTTCCAAACCATGGCTTTTAGTATGTATGGAAAAATGCTCACAACATTAGAATTGTCTTAAATATAATGGGTGAAGGAAAATGAGGAACACATTAAGAAATCTGTAAATATTGCATCTTACCAGAGAGACATCATACGTGACCAGATGGTTTTCCATGGATAAAGCATTGTCTACATTCTAACTAGAGTCTGAAATGAAATCATTATATGTCATCAAAATTGTTGGAGCAAAATAAATGCTACATTATCTCAGTGACTGGTGTTCATGGGAGTGTGAGGCATATATTCACTGCAGAGTGGCCTCTAGGGTAGGAAACATCCAAGATCCCTAAATCACATTCCTCTGGGACCTCATAGCTTCTGAGTGTCTCTGAGTATCATCTAAGAGTGTATCTTACAGTCACAGACAGACCTAGTGAACATAGTGATAAAGCTTCTGATGATGAAAGTTAAGTACAGTTTGAGAACACTGATTTATTTAACTTTTTTAAAGAAAAACATAATTCCACATCTGAGCCGCTACTTCACATCCCAGCAGAAGCCAGATGGCTTGTTTGAGTGGGCAGTGGATGCCAGTGGTGAGAGATGAAAGACTTGTCACAAAACAACCAACCTGAGCTAGTGTATGATTTTAATGGAGAACAGAGAAAATGTCAAGGACAATATCTAGTCTAAGTTGAGCAATGTCCCAGGTTTAACAATTTAAGTACTTATGTTTATTAATATTTTTCTAAATAACAATGGAAGCCCACCTTTTATTTTCATTTACAAGCTATCATGTAAATTTACTTTTATAGTTCAAGATTCCAACATTTTAAAAGCGATTTAAAATTTTTAAAAGGATACATGACAGTTTGCCTCTATTTCCTTTTTCCAATTACTTTTTTTCCACCAGAAATAGTATTTGTCTACATGTTGGTGGGTATTCTTCCCATTCATTTCCCCTGTAATTGGTTGGAGGAGTTCTGCTCGGTTTTAATGTGCAGCATATGGAATGGTGTGTCAATATCCAATTTTATTAAATATCTTTAATTCAATCTAATGACTTCTTTTAGAGAAACTTTTAAGAGGGAATTAAGAGGATGCTAATTTAAAAATACTTCATTTCTGCTCATATGTAAAGAGATGTTTTTAAACTATTCTTGTCACTCTTTAGGACTAGATACCTGGGGTTTGAGGAGATCATGAAGCACAGAGGTGAAGTTACTGCATTTGGCATTAACCAGGTGTGTACTGATGAATGTACTGGCCATCTAAAGTGAAGAGCAGGAAAAGGAGGGTCCTGGGTAATCAGACATAGCCTAGAAATATTTCTATATAAAAATATAGTTGCTTAAGTTCAGAGAAGGCAAACTTTAGTTAAAATATGGTAAGTAAACTATTTAGGTTCCATTGTGTAGATATTCAATACAATGTGAGTCTAAAATTCATTGGTATATGATAACTACACTGAAAATTGTCGCTCCCCCTCTTCGTGGAGGAACGACACAGGACCCTGCGCTGTTCTTTCGTCTGCTCGGCCCTCCCCGGGTTTGCTGCTGGTTCTTCCCGGGTTGGCTACTATCCCTTCCACCTCCGTGGAAGGGCAGTTCCCCCTGGCCGCATTCCCCACTTCCGCAGGGGAGCGGCACACCGCCGGCCGGCTCTCTCGGGGGCTGCACAGGTGTTCCTTCAGGTAGATGTTCCTCTTAGATGTTCCTGGTGCATGCCGTCTCTCTCCTCCTTTATAGTCCTCCTCCGCCAATCCCAACTCGGCTGCCCACACGCCGAGTACGCTGCTCTCCTCCAATCAGGAGCAAGTCCTACAGTTAATTGGTTGAACTGGAGGCAGCTGTGCGGAAGCTGTTTACTTCTCTCCCAGCGCCATATTGTGGGAGAGCAGACGCACAGAATAAGTCTTAATTCCAGTAACAGTCCAGTCCGAGCCGCTCCCCACAAAAATAACCTGTAATATGGAGAGAGCTATCATTTATGCCTTCACATCAACTCCACATAGACCTTCAGGGAAGACTGACATGGATGTAATGCTTCTTTCCGTCGCTCACCTACTTCTGTCCTAATTCTTTCTAATTTAAAGCTGTTTTTAATAAATATAAATTTCATAGGTACAGCTTTAGGAATATAGCAGTTCTTCCCTCCATACCTGCCCTCCCACCCCTACTCCTGTCCCACCTCCTACTCCCTCTCCCATCCCATTTTTCATTAAGATTCATTTTTAATTATCTTTATATACAGAAGACCAACTCTATACTAAGTAAAGATTTCAACAGTTTGCATCCACACAGACACACAAAGTATAAATTACTGTTTGAATATTAGTTTTACCATTAATTCCCATAGTACAGCACATTAAGGACAGAGGTCCTACATGGGGAGCAAGTGTACAGTGACTCCTGTTGTTGATTTAGCAATTGACACTCTTATTTATGACTTCAGTGTTCACCCGAGGCTCTTGTCATGAGCTGCCAAGGCTATGAAACCCTTTTGAGTCCACAAACTCTGTAAGTATTTCGACAGGATTATAATCAAAGTGGAAGTTCTCTCCTCCCTTCAGAGAAAGCTACATCCTTCTTTGATGGCCCCTTCTTTCCACTGGGATCTCACTCACAGAGATCCTTCATGTAGGTCTTGGCTTTCCATGCCTGAAATGCTCTCATGGGCTTTTCAGCCAGATCCGAATGCCTTAAGGGCAGATTCTGAGGCCAGAGTGCTGTTTAGGGTGTTTGTCATTCTATGAGTCTGCTGTGTGGCCAGCTTCCCATATTACATCATTTTCTCCTTTTTAATTCTATCTGTTGTTATTAACAGACACTTGGTCTTATTTATGTGATCCCTTTGGCATTTATTCCTATCTGTATGATCAGTTATGCACTAAAAATGATCACTTTAACTAGTAAGATGGCATTAATACCACCCAGCTTCATGGGATTTGGAATTCCATGGCAAGTTTTTACCTTTACCCTTAGGGGTAAGTCTGGGGGAATGTTTGCCGAACTGTACATCTCCTGCCTCTCTTATTCCCACTCTCAGTTTTTTACTGGGATTAATTTTCAATTGGATTAAAACACCTATGAATAATTCTGTGTTGAATAAAGAGTTCAACCATGGTATTAAGTAGAAAAAGAACATAGTAAAAAAAATAAAATAATAAGCTGTTCCTTGACTGTCAGGACAAAGGCTGATCAAATCATTGATTCTCATAGTGTCAAATTCACTTCTACAGATTTCTTTTAGGTGTTCAGTTAGTTGTCACCAATCAAGGAGAACATATGATATTTGTCCTTTTGAGAATGGCTTATTTCACTTAGTATGATATTTTCCACATTCATCTATTTTGTTGCAAATGATCTGATTTCATTTTTTTACTGCTGTGTCATATTCTATAGGGTACATATCCCATAATTTCTTTATCCAGTCTTCTGTTGATGGGAATTTAGTTTGATTCCATGTCTTAGCTAGTATGAAGTTGGTTGTAGATGTTTGGGTTGATTTCTGGCGTTTCTGTTCTGTTCCATTAGTCTATCTGTTTTTGTACCAGTACCATGCTGTTCTGATTATAATTGCCCTGTAGTAATTCTTGAAATCTGGTATTGTGAAGCCTCCAGCTTTGTTTTGTTGTATAAGACTGCTTTAGCTATTCGAGGTCTCCTGTTCCTTCATATGAATTTCAGCATCATTTTTTTCTAGATCTGAGAAGAAGGTCTTTGTATTTTGATTGGTATCACATTGAATCTATAAATTGCTTTTCAAAGAATAGATATTTTGATGATATTGATTCTTCCAATCCATGAACACCCCAGTTAGATTGGCTTTCATACAGAAATCAACAAACAACAAATGATAGCGAGAATGTGGGGAAAAAGGTACTCTAATCCACTGGTGATGGGAATGCACACTGGTAAAGCCGCTATGGAGGACAGTTTGTAGATACCTCAGAAATCAGAATATAGTCCTACCATATGAATTAGCTATCCCAGTCCTCAGAATTTACCCAAGGGAAATCAAATTGGCAAATAATAGAGCTATCTGCATCTCCATGTTTATTGCAGCCTAATTCTTAATGAACCTTTTCCAAGGAGATTCCACTAATCCTGAGTAATGAGAGGCTCTGGACTGGTTCCAAGCCTTCACATAAACTCCAGGGTTGCTGTCTTTCTATCTGGATCAATGTAAGCATTCAAGGAATAAACAAATCTTGTGTTTCAGTTTTACCAAATAAAGATAGATGAGAACAGAGGATTCTTCAATTGTACACCTGCTCGGTTGCAGGAAAAATTAGTGTTTCCCTTCTTTAAGAAGTAGCAGGGAATAGATACTCCTGTAGGTCTTGTTCAACTGTCCTCAGGTTAAAGCTGAAAGGGAGAAAGGCTCAGAAATGCTGATGTGGGAAAACAAGTCTTTATATAGTAAAGGCTACTGTATTTATATTTTCCTGAAGTTGGTCCATCAAATAGA